TGCTGAAGCTAAGAAATACATAGTGAGGAAGATGACACTCATGTGGGAGAAGTAAATGTGTGGTATGAAATTGTGCTGCAATTTACATGAGTGCTGTGATTATAAAGGTGCATAATAATTTGCATTTTTTCTGTTGCTCACTTGGCATGTGTAACCTGTAATTTTGTCTTGTGAATTTTTTATTGGTCTACAGGGAAAACAATCTCAATTGCTTATCCTTCCTCATCAGCAAGTTGAAGATTCACTTTATGAGATCTTAGTTTGAAGGGAAGTGTCTTAAATATATTGGAACAGGGCAATGTCATGGACATTATAATGACAGTGAGAAACACGCTGAACTCTGAAAAGAGAAAAATATTGATAAAAATTAAAGTTGCGTACTTCAATCTAGTACTAATTCACAAGCCTACCTTAGGGTTACCCATTATCCTGTAGGACTCACTCCTTTCCAAATACTGAGTTTAGTGTTTTCCAATTCTGAATAAATGGTATCCCAAGCCAGTATTCAGTAAGGTCATGAAACTCTGAAGACTGTCTCTATATTGTCATACTGGCACAGAGAAAGCAGAAAAGGAAACCTCATACTTTTTTTTTTTGGTTTTACGAGACAGGGTTTCTCTGTATTGTTTTGGAGGCTGTCGGTCCAGCCCAGCCTCGAAATCCCAGAGATCCACCTGCCTCTGCCTCCTGAGTGCTGGGATTAAAGGCATGCACCACCACCGCCCGGCGGAAACCTCATATTTTTATTTTATTAATTTTAAATGTGCACCATACTCCCCATTCTATTTCAGAAATTGTGGTATTTTTCTAAAATCTGATGAGTTTTTTAATCAATAATTAGTCACAAAATCCTCAGTTGGTTTGTGTCATTATTCTTTTAACTCAAGCAATACTAAGGTTTTCTGAAATTTATGTAAACAGTTCATCCAAAAAATCATCAATGGAGATAGAAGAAACTATATCACTTGAAAAGATGTTTTTGCAACAAATACCCAGACATAGCAACCTGTTTCTACTGGCATGAGTTTTGGATGGTAATCAAGGCCAGGTCTGTGGAAACAGGGCAGAGCTCAACCCAGATCAGCACTATCTGACTAGTGAAGTTATAAGTGCCGTTATTTATACACTTGAAGGAGAAGGCAGGGGGCTTTGGAAAGCCATTCTCTGTGCAGGTACCATTGTGCTTTAACTTAAAGGCAATGATCCACAGCTACCATAACCTTTGTTAATTATCCTGACAGCAAAACGCCACAAGGAAGAAATCTCTTTATAAAACTTATGATGGTAAAATTCTCCGAAGAAATAGTAAGGCTAATTGCTTTTTAAAATATCATCTTAAGGCAGTCTCTCATGGAAAGAGTCCATTCAGGAACTTTAGTACTTCTTTAAACATTCAGATCCAGTGAAAACAAGCATGGCCAGTATGACAGGATTTAAATGAGTCTATATGCCAAGGATGGAGATCATACTACATTACATGGCATTACTGTGTGTTACCAGAAACTTCTCAGGAACAATTCGCATACATAAGAGGAATACTAGAATACTGAGTACATACAGTGAGAAATATAATCAAAGAAGAGAGAAACATTCTCATAAAAGATGTTTTTGAGGTAACTGTGCTGAGATTCCTTTAGATGGTATATCATTCCTTTATTCTAGAGACAAGCAATAACAACAGCAACAAACTATCCCAGCTCTTAAATGAATCACCTCCTCCAACTCTAGATTACTATTGGTTTAGACTAGACTCCACAGGGACATCTGGCAGTGTTCCATTCAAGAACTAGACAGGATGAAAGCTCATCCTCCTCCACCTCCTCCTCCTCAATGAACTAGGAAAGTCTGCAGAAAGGTTAACTTACCAGGGAATAAATGGAACACACACACAGACACACACACATACACACACACATACACACACACACACAAAGTTATAAATCTTTTCCCAGGAAAATAAAGTGTCTATCAGCCCCTCACAGCAGCCTTGCTGTTAAGAGCATTAAAGCAAATGCACTGAGCCTAATATATTCACATATAACACATGTGCTGGCCATTTCACATGCTTCATAACTCAGAGGGCAGCTGCTATGGGGTTGGAAATGGATACTGTGACAGGTCACTGGTGATTTATACCGCAGCAGGGTTGCAGTACAGTGGAGGGCCTGCTTACCCAGGCAACCCCATGTGCTGACAGCCTCCTTCCACAGTATAGCAAGCCCAGAAGGAGCACCTGACATACTGAGGCTCGTGGTGTGGAAAAAGGAGCAGGACAGAGCCAACAGCAAACCTCAATTCATTATGTCTAGAGTACATAAACTCTCATGGAATGTAACACAAACACACACGAATAATTAAATAACAAAGCGATAAAACTCCTGTTTGACTCATTAAATTCCCATCTTACCTGAAACCCTGGGACTCTACCTGGTGCCTCTGCACATGACTCAGGGCATCCTACAGTAGCAAACTAAAAAGACACTGCCTTGCTCTCTCAGCTTCAAGTCCTCACTCTACACAGACACTGCTCAGGGATGTCCTTTTTGTTGCAGCATAATGATCTCATTCAAATCGACAAGTTCCACATTTTGCCTAGAAAGAGCAGAAGGACCAATGCTATTGTACTGGGCTCCATAATCCTTTGTTACCAATCAACAAAGTCTTTAAAAACCTTCTGCTGAGTGGGAATTTCAATGCCTGTGAACTAGACATTTGGCCTTATTAAGGGCACCTCCTACTGGCCCTTTCTTATAGTGAGATATGCTTCTTCTGTGTCACTTTCCCAAAAATTGCTACTGAGGAAAAGTGTGATATTCAGATAAATGAGCAAAGAAGACTGGAGTGAACTAAATTAGCAAGATCTCCAAACCCACTTTCCTGGATCCTGCATGAATCACATCCCCTTCCTTTTCAAGTAGCAAAGATGTATTAGAAATGTAGTGAAGTTTAACACAAAGATCAGCAAGTATTACCCACTAAAATTTTCTTTACACATGTATACTTTGTTTAGGCTTTTTTGGGGGTGGGACTTTGATTTGTCTATGAAGAGAAAATTTTGAGAAGGGAATTAAAATAAAACAGTAGTAAATAAATGATCACAAGCACAAAAAGCTAAATGAATAGGAAGGAGAAATTTAATGTGGGTATTAATAAAACTTATCTGATCTATCTCCATTTATCTACCACCAGTCTGTATCAGGTAATAGTCATTTGGGAATGGTTTTAAGATATTGTATAACTGACAATAATATCAATTTTTGACACTTTCTTAATTCAATATTGTCAGACATGGCCTTCATGCCCCCTCTATCCTATGGGCTTTCTGCTTACCAGGGAACATCTCTGAACTTCCCTGTTTCAGTCCAGATGCTCCCAAAGTGCCAGAGAGAGGAGGAGTCAGTCTGGACACAAGGAAGGTCCAGCTGGCCTTGCTGGTTAGCATTTGCGGTTTAAGGAGGGGATTTCTAAAGACACTTTCTATGACTGCAAGGATAAGCTACCCACTACCTCTCCAAACCTAGCTAGCACCTTCAAAGGGAGTAATTACAGAGGACAAAGCCCTGGGAGAGAGGAACCAGGGAGGAGGGGACCGCCCAGTGGGAGGGGGGGCAGCAACTATGATGAGGGTGTATGATGAGGGTGCGGATAAGCGTGGCATCATAGGAGTGCATACAGCAAGCAGGCGCCCACGCGCGCGCGCGCGCGCACACACACACACACACACACACACACACACGATTGTCTACAGAAGGATGGAAGCCCAAAGTGTGTGCTCACGTTAATCCTTCTGGCTAGTAGCAAAGCTACCTGGGCACTTGCTTCATGGCCTGAATCCCTTGAAACCATGAAGCGTTTGCAACCCTTGGTTTTGCATCCTGGACCAGAAAGCCGGAGTTTAGTACTCCAGGGAGGTTGGGGACTTGACTGCTGTGATTTAATTTTATTCCCTGTTAATTTTCAAGGCGCAGTTTGGGTCGCTCCTACTCAACTCCTGGCCCCAGCTGGGGCGGTCTTTGGATCTGAAAAAAGGTCTATTCCAGAGGGATTTGCATGCTCACACAGCAGCTGTTCTGTCTTTCCCAGCAGACCTGCTCCCTATACCCAGTGCCCACCTACTTGTGGTGGAGTCCCGCAAAACCAGTAAATCTTACTACTTTTCTCCTTTTTATTCCTTTGGCCATAGAAGCCACAGCTCCGCATTCGGAGACTGCAGCACCTAGGGACCAGCCATCAGATCCTTCTTTCTCCTGCTTTAGCCCCATCTAGCCCCCAAACAGTTTTGCCATTTTTAATTAGAGACTATGCTTGCCAAGTGCCAGGGCCAGGAGGCCTATTTCCCAGAATATCAATCATTTGGAGTTGGAAGGTGTCTTGGAGACATTCGGGGACTTGCCTAAGAAACAAAATTCATCCACCGTCAAAATTTCAAATACACCTCCCTCTTGGCAGCTCTGCACCTCTTTAGGCACTGTTATGCACTCCTCCAAAGTACTCCTAATGCATATCTGTTCTATCCTTTCCTTGATTAGCAATCAGCAAGTACAAAAATTGCGAACCTAGGGTCGCACATATTCGCACAAACATCCCCCAACAGCTACATCCTGCACAGACATGCTCTAGGCTTCTTGGATGTCATCCTCCTTTTGCTCCTGTTCCCCTGTTCACCTCCCTCTTCCTAGGATTTTGAGGCTCTGAGGATACAACCCAGTTCTTTTCAACAGCATCCCCATCACTTTCACCAGCCCGTCCTCCAAAGGAACACAAGTATTTGCAAAAGCAAAGATGCAAGAGACAAGCACCAGACTGAAAATTAAAAAAACATCTTCCACCCCAGAGAGGAAAAGTCTTCTTCCTTTTATCATCTGCGAGGAAACGGTGAGCAGAGCGAGCAACGAATATCTTATTTCTCTTCCACTCTAATTCTACTCTCCAAATGAAACTGGAAGAGGAAGGGGGTAAGGGGTGGGGGAGCATAGAGAAGAAAGGAACAGAGCTCTTACCAGTGACTTGAAGATGCGCGCTGAGCAAGGAAGCTCCGAAGAGTACAAAAGCCAGCTTGGGTACCCAAACACATCCAAGACTATTCTCCATATTTCAGCCAACACCTTCGGGGCCGGGGGTCCTGGGCAGCGGTGGCACTCACACACATGCACTCACACACGCATGCATACATGCACACACCCGGGCCCACACCGAGCCCCTTTGGCTTCCTCCTCCTCGTCGTCCTCTTCCTCCACCTCTTTCTCCACCTCCCCTGCGCCTCTTCTGCCTGTGAAGCCTTTTTCCTTGTCCAGGGACACAATCAGCAGCAAGAAGAGGCAGCAAAAAGTTCCATTCGGTCCAAGAGCTCCCGAATCCCGACAACACCTTGGATAACTAACTCAAGGAAACAGAGGGACCAAAAGAAGGGGGGCACAGCTCTCCGTGGGGCTTGTGAGGCATCAATGAACTGAATATCCAGGAGGGCTAGAGAGGAGACGCAAAGCAATCCCGTGGCTGGCCAAGCGTTGAAGCTGCTTCCTAGTAGTCGGTTGGATAAAGTTGGAGAGAAAAATCCACGCTGGTGATGCTGTTCCTTTGCCTTCTCAGAGCTGGGGAACCGGGTAGGGGACAGAGGCGGGGAGTGCCGGGCAGAGTGCTCTCACTTGTTACTGGGGTGTCCGCCAGTGGTGTGTGAGCTGAGAGTTGGAACCTTACTATCCATTGATCCAGAGAAGTGGAGGGATGGAAGGGAAAATGTGGAGACCGGAGGGAAACGAACTGGATCAGGCAAAGAATCCACGCGATGGGGGCGGGGGCCTAGAGAAGCTTAGGGAAAAGGAGCGGACTGAGGCGGCTTCCAGCAGCTGTGTTCGTTCGGTCTACATATCAATGCGCAGGGATGCCCTCTGTGGGCAAAGCGTGGGAAGTCACTTTTGTCAATGGAGCCAGCGAACCTCATGAGCATCTGGAGGCTTTACAGCAGCAATCATATTTGATCTTCTGCATTCAGGAAATTATTTTATGTGACTGTAAAACCTGGGCGGGTGTTTCTGATAGGGCAAGTGGCCAGGCTTTTACTTTCTTTCTTGTCTTCTGCATTATTAAAAAGAGAAATTTTCATTAGGAAAAAAAATCTAATGCCACCCACTTCTAGAAGTGGGAAGCAGACACCCAGAAACACCCCACACTCACGAACGCTGGATGACTGCCTCCTGAGAGTAACCGATTTTTTTTTTCATTGCGCATTTTATTTCATCCCTGGTCACACTTCTCCAGAGGTGAATCAGTTGTATAGATAATTAAAGCACTCTCTATATTCTAGGTGCCTCCGCGTCTCCCAGGAAACATGAGCCTAGGAGTTAGCTTTATTCAGGCTCCATTCTCAAAGGTCAAGGAGGTTTTCATCAGTTGGGAGAAAAGAGTAAGTGGACAATACTGAATTATCATGACGACTGTGCTGATCCATGTGATGAGACTGTGTTCTCATCAGGGAGAACTACATGCCCTTCTCTACTCCCCTGACAGGACATGAAGGAAGAGTATCTGTGTGGACACACACACACACACACACACACAGTGGGTTACAGGAAATATACACAGAGAAGTCCAGAAACTGCTCCAGCCTAGTGATTCTGCACATCTCACCTTCTCTGCCAGACATCAGGCAGTCTCCATAGGAGACACAGTGTGCCTTTCATCTTCGTCCCCCTCACAGATGCTGGTAGGACTTGTAAAACAGTTCTGCAATTTTGTTAAACAATGAGATAGCAAACAAATGGAATTGCAAGGAAAACGACAAGTAGAAGTCATTCTGAAAAAAATGTTCAGCCCCACTTGTCTCTCATTCTTTGTCATACAATTTTATTTATTCCTTTTATCGCCCCCCCATTCTTTCTTGTCGCTCACATTCACAAGGTCGTGAAAGGATAAAGTGAATTATCTGTAAGAGTGAAAAGTAAGAGAGATGAGCAAAATATGGAATAAGGTTGCCAGCAGGAAAACATGAAAACTGGTCAAGGATCCTTCAGGTGCTTAGCCATGCTCATCCTTTTTTACCCTGAAAAGGTTAACAGAAGAAGCATATGTGATGACTAGATCAAAACTTCTGAAGAGTCTTAGATGTTTTGTTGATATCCAAATTTTCAAAACACCAAAACATCCAGTAGCTAAATTATAGACTTCTAGAAATTTAGGGCTGAGTTATAAAGCATGGTTTTAATTTAGCCATGTGTCTTTCTGGAGGATTAATGCTAGCAAACTTTGAGAATTGTATAACATTCAGAATTTGTTGGGAAGGAAAATCAGGCACCAGGAACATATGCTGTTGCACTGGGACAGGAACCTCTGCTTTTCATGCAGATGCACAAAGTGGTTATTGAAGCAGAGGACAGGACCTTTGTGTCAGTGAGAAAACATCAAGGAAGAACTGTGGTCTCTTCTTGGGAGACATAAAGTCAGCTTCCCTAAACCAACAAAAACAACTGTTACCACCTAGTGTCAGATAGGAACCCAAAGTGACCTGTATTATTAGGGACTCTGTAAATCATTGGTTCTCAACCTTTCCAGTTCTGAGACCCTTTCTCATGCTGTAGAGACCCCTAACCATAAAATTGTTTTGTTGTAACTTCTTAACTGTCCTTGTGCTACTGCTATGAATCATAATATGAATATCTGATATGCAGCATATTGGATATCTGATTCTGTGGGGGTCATGCCTCACCAGGTGAGAACCACGCATATAAAAGCATCCTGTTTAGCCCAATACATTAAATCTAATAAACAACAAGTTACCTACCAGGTGATCTCTGACTACCATACCCAAGTGAGTCCAGAACTTCAGGCCCATTGACTAAGGTTCTGTAACAGCACATCATTTACCTTCCTTCCTCCTTTACACTGCTGTGTTCCACAGCTGATGATAACCAACACAGTCTTGAACACTTTTCCCCAACAGTTCCCTCTTCAGCTTAGCTTTGGAATGCTCTGTTGAAAACAGACTTAATATTTTCAACTTGAAAGAACAGTGGCTTATTCTTGGGAGACACTACAGTTCCTTTCCCCTCCCTTCTAAGGCGTCAGATACACTTCCCCTTCAGCCTTCTTATTAGCAGAAAGAAAATCAAAATATTAAACGAGAAGTGGAAAGAAATGGGAAGCACAGGAGATAGTTTGGTATAATCAATGCTCTTTGCAAAGCAATTAAGACATTTTGTATTAAAACCTTGGAGTTTTAAAAACATAGTGATAAAGACACGTTAGCTGGTACTTCATTTCTTCCATTCATATATACCATGTTAACTGTTTGTGGAGAAGCCATGTAAAATCCTGATGTTTCTGAGATTAGACCAAAAAGAAAAGCCCAGTTAAAATCATGAAATTAGCTGAGAAACTGAATTTCTTATCCTACCACATTTCAGAAAGCTAACTACCACATCTTTTTTCTATTCATCCAATACCACAGTTTGAAATGATAGTTTAGAAATTTACTTGCAAATAAAAATACTATCTAGTGATATGGTAACTATTAAATATGCATTTGAATATGCTGCAGATCAAATCATGTGAACATGAAAATGTGATAAAACACAATTTATTCATTTGTTTAAGAAAGCCAAGCATATTACACACTCAGTCTACATGTTATCTACATTATTCAAATACAAATATAACAAAGTTATTGCTATAGTCTAATTTTCAATTATGGGGTTTTTTTATTCTTGATGCAGTACATGGGTGGAGGTCAGAAGATAGCCTGTGAAAGTTGATTTTCTCTTTCCAGCATGTGGGTCCTGGGAATCAAACTCAGGACATCAGCCTAGAGCATGTTTATACACTTAGTCATGTTGCTGGCCTAAGGAGTATATTTTAATTGACAATTGATTGATTATCTTTTCTACTTGCACAATTGCTTTGTTAGCTTGGAACACCTTCTTCTGTGCTTGGTGACACTTTGAAGACTGAGAATCCCACCCTTGCAGATTTCTCACCATGAAATCAGGAAGTGGATCTTGAGTCACATCAGACACACAAAGTGTTCTGGTCTTCTAATCACCATGATAAAATAAGAGATCAGCCCAAGCCTGAGTCTAAATGAAGAAGCCATCACCATCTCCCCCATATGAAAAAAAACATTTGAATTCTCTAGGAGGCACTTTCAGAGAGTCCTCTTAAGCCTTCTATTGTGGAGGAGTATGATATTCAGAGTAAGGGCAAATTTAGGAGTCTTGGAGCTCTTACAAGGTTTCTCTAGACCAAATCCACTGACCACAGTCCCCTACTCCAAATTCCTATCCTCTTCTTCCAGTCCTTGAACTTGTTGACTTATTTGTTGATAAAGGTACTTACAGATATGATAAAACCAAGATCATGGCATGAAGACATTACCCTTGATTATCCAGGGAAGCCTCTTGTAAAATCGTATGACTTGTGAGAAAAAGAAGCAAATGGGGATATTCAGAAAAAGATGCATGGTCACACAAGTAGGAATTAGAGCAGAGTGGTACTGTAACTAGGAGGAATCAAGACACAAGGAATGTGTCAGACTCCAAGAGCTGAAAAAACAAGACAAAACAAAACAAAAAAGCTTACTTTGCCCCTTCACAGAATACATAGTCCTGAAGATCCTGGGATCTTAACAATGTAATGCCATTTTTGGATATTTGACCTTCCAAATTATAGGATAGAAAATTTTTGTTACTTTAAACTGGAATATAGTGGCAGCATTTTACAGGATTGGCAGAAAGCTAGCACGTATTTTCATATTATGAAGTGGAGAGCTACTGCAAAAAAATGCTTGAAAATATCGAAATGGCTTTGGAATTGGGTAATTGGCACATAATAGAGGAATTTTAAAGATCAAAATAAGAAAAACTTGCATTGACATGAGCCAACTATAGGCAGAAAAACCTGAACCCTGAAAGTGCTGCCAGAAAGGTTAACATGAAAATGAGGAAAAGAGATTCTGTTTTCAGTGGTATAAGAGTCACATTATGCTTTCCAGGTATGTGAGGAACAGACCTTGCGATGAACTTGGATATTGACTGAGGAGATTACCTATATCTTGAAGATGTGGCCAGATTTCTTCTTATAGTAAAATATGAGGGGACTGAAATACACGGAGGGAATGGCCATCATGCATTAAAACCACAGCACTCTTGACAATTCAGACAACATCAGCCTATCCCATTATGCACACTGCAATTGAGATATGGTGGTCAGGGAAGTTTCCATTGTAGAAGAAACCATGAATGTGACTGTGTGATCATGTTTATTCATGCCTTATAAAGGTCAAAGGATCAGAATATTCAGTCAAGCACAGGCATTTGTAAGATTAGGCATGTGACTTGTAGAACCATTATTCTAGCTGAGCTGAAGCTAAGAGAGAAGTAGAAATTGTCCAAGAGGGCTCCACCAAGATGACTCTGGCTTAAAGATATGTACACGAGGAGCCAACATGGGTCTTGAGACTGCCATGCAGAAAGTCGCTGCCAACCAGAACTAAAAGGAACACAGATATGAAGAAATGGCAGGATAAAAGGGGGTATTATACTGTTAGGAAAGAGCTGCAAAAACATATTAACCTTACAAGTTAGTGGATTTAAGAAAAGAAGGATGCTCCTAAGGACAGAGGTGTGAACCTACACAGAAAAGCATGAGTCAAAAGTAAGGAAACCATAAACCAAGTAAAATTGTACCCAGGCTTAAAAACTGTTATTTGCTTGGCTGGCTTTCAGAATTGCTTGGGACCAAACACTCACTTTTATTCCTTCTACTTGCTTGCTGTTGAACAATGTATCTATAGCTGACTTACTGTACCTATTGTACCACTTTACTTTGAAATCATATAG